TCTGGAAGTCCTACTTTGTGAGTTTCTTTGGCTGTGTATTACAGCTGCTCCAACATCCTAAATTGATTCAACACGTTTCCCTTTCGTGGTCACTGTGACTTTGGCGAAGAGCCAGAGGCATGGTGCTAGAGCTGGTGCATAAGGAGGACAGGGACACACCATGATGCTTCTACAAGCCTGCCTTTCTGCTGGATGTCACTCAGCAGCACATTCGTCATACTTCTGATCACATTGTGTGGAGATGTCAAAGAGGACTCCCAGAACAGTTTCAGAAAGTGGCAAGAAAGATGGGAGAAGTGTGTTCCAGTTGAAGGGGGTATTTAAGGGCAATTAATAACCATGTGTATTTTACTATAATAAATTTTTAAATGTAAACATTTATGAATATTTTGGCCAAACTGCATACATTTTTCTTTTTTCTTTCTTTTATGTCAAAGATTTAGCTTGCACCAACCAGTCACTCTACAGAGTGCTTTACACGCACTGCCTTTTTAAAAAATGTATTTATTTTTTATTGGTACGTGTTTTCAGTACATTTAGTTTACAGTCATCTCAAGTACATGTACATAAAACAGCTTGATTGTTTTTGAAATCCCCTTCCCCTTCTCTCCAGCCTCCTCCCTTCCTCTAAATCTCTTTTTTCCCAGATTGCAGCAACAAACAGACACACTGAAACACCACCCAGGATTTGGAGGCACATTTATTTATGTCAAAGGGTATTGACTTAAAAAAAAATGTCAGGCCTTAAACTTTGGTAGCTTGGGGCTTATATGGGATAAGCAAGCAAGAAGTACAGAGTCAGAGTCCTTGGCAATTATTGACTGATTGCATCTTATGTCATTATTATTGATTGGCCCAAGTGAAAACTATACCATATATGTTGCAAGTCTGTAAGCTCCAACTCCAGGAAAGCTCAGAGCTAGGGAGAGTTTGCAGGCTCAGGGTGGGGGCAAGCTCAGAGCTGCAGAAAGCAAGTGTTTGAGGTGACATCCAAGCTCAGGGTATGGTTGGTTAGATAAGGGAAATATGTACCTGGTGCTGGTGGGAGACAGGAGGACAAATCTGTTCAGGGGAGTGGCTAGTTGGAGGAAATTTTAACTCTAAAGAGTTAACTTTCCATTTTTGTCTTCAAGATAAGATTTATAATTTCAGCAAGAACAAAAATGTATACACTTTTGACAGGGTTCATCGGTCCTTCGATAGTGCTCAGAACTTACTTACTGTTTGATTGAATAAGCACTTTGTGTGTGGTACATTGAACCCCCATTAGGATCTCCTGGGGTTCCTATTCTAGCTCCAACCCAGCCCCAACTTTATATGTTTTGCTGATAAAGACTCATATCAGGAATCTTCAGAGGATTATTGTTATCTTTGGACTCTGGAATAGTCCACCCCTTGGATATATGTTCTGCCTGTTTTGCTGTTATCTAGAACCAGTGTGACGAACACAGAAATCCAGCTTCTCTCTTGCTTTTAAAGCAAGACAAACACCGAGGCACAGTGAGCTCTGCAGAGTTTCCCACAGCATCAGGCAGAGCCTGAGAAGGGGCTTTGATCAGACTGTGGCTGGCTTCCTCCTCTTCTCTAGCCCTCCCTACCTTCACCCCCAGTGTTACTGCTTTCTCCTGCAGTTCATCGTTAACTGATCATGTTCACCCATTTCCTTGGCTCAGAGGTGGCTCTGACAGAGCCCCATTGGAAGCACCAGCCATCCAGGAAGCACCAGAACACTGTGTGTAGAGTCAGAAAATTGGATTCCTGTTTCCTCTCTGCCACAACTAGCTGTGTCATGTCACTTCACCGTGCCTGCTTATTTTTCTGTCAGTTAGGGAGACGGAGTAACAGAGATGACCAAGGAAACTGCATGCATGAATGTGCCTGCTGCCCTGTAAAATCCCCTACAGGTACAAAGCCTTGTTATGTGATTTCACTGTCTTATGGGATCCAAGTAAGGACTTCCTAAAAGGGACTGGAAGTTATGGTGGAACAAGGGGAAACCAAGTTCCTAGAGGAGAGAATTTTTCAAGAAAGTGTTTAGCAATGTATTTTGTTCTTTGTTGTTATTTTCAAAAGCAAGAAGAAAAAAATCCCTCCCTTTATAGTTCTAGGTCTAAATAATAAGACCGCTCATGGGAAAACGAATTAAAAGCATCAATAATTTGACTGACCTTCTCTGACTTGGAAACACCCAGCAACAGATACTATATCCTCCAGAGACACAGCTTAGTTTCCATGCTTGGAGCATTAAAAGCAAGCCGACAGCTCTTTTAATTAAATGCTGGTTACCACTAGGTAAACAGAAAAATTCTTAGCACAAATAATCTAACTGTTCCTGGAAGATTAATCGTAGACAAAAGAAAGTTTGCAAACTACCCGTCTGTATTGAATCAATTTATTTTAATACTGCGCACAGAGGTGATTGCTTTGTTTTTTGATCAGAAACAGCTGTGCAACAATCAGGGTTTACAATACTTTCAAACCTTTAGTGCTTGCTGTGAAAGAAGGGCATGTGGAGCCCGTGGTGTGCTTAGATAAGCACAAGCTTATGTTCTTAGTGAGTTCCTGGGGCGTGGTTTCCTAGGGATTGCCCAAGGTGAACTGAGATGCTGGTAGGGACCTTATCCAAAACATTGGGAATCACTGTGGTGTTGAAAGCTCATCTCTGGAAGGGAGATCCAGGTAATGGGGAGACAGGCATACTGTATTAGAGATCAGGCAGCCCTGATTCAAATCCTGAGCTTACCATGTAATGGTAGTTATCTTTGCATATACTGTTGGGAACTCCTCCTGGTCCTCGTGTAGGTCCAAAAAGTTTATATTTGTAATCCTAAAATATGTTATTGGAATCCCAGCAAGTTAATTCCAACCTGCCACTTCCAGTGCAAACCACAGCAAGAATAAAGACACTAAAGCATATTTATAGTGATGGGGAGCCAAGTGTCCCTAAGTCCAGCCATTGTGAACAAAATCCTCAACCCAAGGCCAAATCTGGGTTCTGTTCAGTCATGAAGGAAGAGTGATTTGAGGATGAATGACTGAGAATTTCAGGAAGTAGGTGAGTACTGTGAACTGAGCTAGCTAGGAAGCCTGCATTTATATCTGTG